TAAACATTTCTCCCAACATTCTTCAAGGTATTTCTCTTCGCTTTTGAAATTACTTGATCGAAAGTGATGAAGTGAAGGACCTTCACAATGATTATCTGGGGGCTGCTCGCCATCGTAAAATTTGATGTCACCATTCTCGTGCTCCATCCACCAGCTTCCCTTTCCAGTCAACAGAAAATCACTTACTCTCTCGAGGTGGGCTTGCCAAGATCGGGTGTGCTTCTCTATGATCTCATATGGAATAATTGTATTTCCATATGGTGGAAGTGAAGATGCAACCTTAGAAACAGTTACTTCTTGCTTGGAGATACACGCTGCCATCTGTTTCTCAGCCTGCAGTCTGACAAAGATGTTACCAATGATGTGACTTGGGTGAAAAGAAGATGTTGCCTTGGCGATGTTAGTAATTGTGTTAAACACTCTTTCTTGCTCTTCAACATTGGTGGATCTTCCACTGATTAAGCGATGCTGCATGGCTGCATGGGATGTTATGTCATGGAAATAATTGCCATACAGCTTTCGGGTTGTCATTTCCTTCAGCATAAAACCAAATACTTCCTGGCATAAAATCCCATGATACCAAGTCATATTGTGGAGTCGCAGGACTTATTTGGGGGTTCTTTCGTTCTCTGAGCTGTAAGCAAGCCTCTGAATTTCTACCAAAGAGGTCAGGAGTTGTCGGATACGGTGAGATGATATCTTGGCAGGATGTTGTGCAAGAATGACTATAGCACGCCGGTAATCAAAAGTCCGCTTGGTATCTTTTCCTTCCATTGAAAGTTTGATGACTTCTTCTACGTCTTTGGCTTCTTCTGCTGGCAGGTGGGCTGGGAGTTCTGTCAGGACATTCCCTATGTGTTTGCCAATGTCGTGTAGAGGTTTAATGGAAAGTATCTCATAGTTCTCACAGTTAATCGATTCCAGTGAAGTGGTAGGTGTATTGTAAAGCAAGGCAGGGACCCGCTGGACACCATGCATTTCATCTTGCAGAAGCTTTTCAAGTTCTGACTTTGTCTCACCTTCAAAAATCCCCCTTGAATTCAATTCTGCTATCAGTTCCTGTTTTTTCAACTTCTGCAGGGGCTTGTAAGCTTTTGCCAAATAATTTTTTCGACCATAGGGCCCATTTAGCATCAACTGTTGGCGATCTGACAATGACATCCATCGACAGCGAAAACGGTAGTCTAACTCATAAACTTGTTGTGCATACGCACCACATCCGGAACAGTAGTAGTTACCACCTTTCTGCTGTCCACATTCAAGTTCACGGGCTGGACTATCGCCATGAAAGAATCTCATTTTATCTGTGACATCAGTGCCAGAGTTTGTTGTCAATTTACTTCCCATGTCTTCCAGTCATTCTCGTCGTGTGTCTACATAGGCCAATTGTTCGGCATCTGAACTTCCTGACCTGGCAACTATATACACCTCTGGCGATTCCACTCTAGCTTGGACATCTTCTTTGATGTTGGTCATCTTAAGATACTCTTCATTTGTATAATGTATTGCTGGGTCATACAGACATGATACCATAAATACCAGGTGACTATGATTAGCAACAGTTGAGAGATCATGCCACATTTTGATGTGCCGTGTCCTTTCAAATTTCTTAAGCCGGGCCCTCATTTCATCTTCATTTCCTCCATCATGATATTCATTGATCTCTTTTAGGCTGGTGATTACACTTTCCAAATGCATGTTTTGAAAATCTTCATCTGAAGTATGTCGCATGTATTGTTCTTGACTTCTCAGTGTTCTCTCTCTGATTTCAATAAGTGGTTGTTTTCGACCTTCCACAAGAAATTCTGTTTTGAAAACCTCCCCAGAGTTGTTTATCACCATTTTTTATACTAAAATAATTGTGAATTAAAACAAGCAACATTAGTTAAATATACTGCGCACTATAGTGTTTAATGTTTAAGTTAAATGTTTATTACTGTACATAATATTTAGTACAGTATTATTAACCCATTAAGCGGACATGGTCCAATACCACGATATGATACGGATGGTAAATTTCATAAATCCACCATCTACCATCGGTATTGTTGTAATAAGTAGGGTGCATTGGAGTGCATTGCAGCTCAATGGGCTAATGATAATTACAGCCTGAAGTAACTAACCTTTCGAGGTGCAATATGCTGTCCAACTGTATATTCCCCTGACATGTCCTTCTTCTTCATTTCCTCTTTGACACTGTTAATGGTTTGGGGAGTTGCAACTGTTATCTCTCCTCCTGCACCCCTCAGCTTTTTACTTCTTATTCTCTCACCAGTCTGCTCACATGGCCTTTTAAATCTGGATACATTGACTCCAACTGATTTAAGCTATTCTCTTGTGCCACCTGTCCACCATTTTTTGCAATTTCTCCCTTGGTATTTCTTATGGAGTACCTTCGAGCCATATCTGACCAGTTGACCTTAGTATCATCTGGGTAGCTTTCAACTTCTTCTTTCATTCTCTCCTTGCCCCAAGTTACATTGGACAATTTTCCAACTGGACTTCTTTTTTTGGAACCAGTTGATGCCGATCTTTGTTTTGCTGTCTCTTTGCTTTCGAAGGCCATGGCAAGGCGCGATCGTTGTGTTGCTGCCAGTGATTGACGGTTGCCATAACACCTGGGAAATAATTTCGTGTTTACTATTTATTAAAATAGTACACCAGACGAGTACATTTTAATAGTACAATCTGTCATGTAATCACATTATGCTGTCTGATTTATTGCACTGGTCTGCTAGATCTTAATTTTTAGACCCATGGTTAAAAACAGCTAGTGTCAGAATCACTACCTAGCTACTAGATCAGCCCGAATGCCTAAATTTGAGCTGTTAATCTGCATGGTTGGCCCATGAATTGAAAATAGAAAATAAAAGTACATGTGCCAGTCACTTGACCCCCCCCCCCCACCTGGGCATGCCCAGGTTACCCGGGGAAAGAGGGACAATCAACTCCTAATTTTCATTGGTAGGAAGTGAATAGCCCCAAGGTGGGGGGTAGGTCTGTGGTTTTGAAATGACTGGCGCAATAAAATATATGGGTCCCACATAATATTAGTCACTTACATAGTGTTGTAATGCTTGTGTGCAGTAATTAACATGATTATGATGTACCTCATTACTTATGTATTCATCCAGTGTTGTTCTAAATTTTCTTTTTTTTTTTTTAAATTATATCTCCTTTCTCTTTTTTTGTCAGCTTTGGTCGTTTTAGTTTCTATTTTGAATTGGTTCAGCGTTGCGAATGCCTTCTCCAAGGAAACATTGTAGGTTTTTCAAAAACTGGATTCAGTCTGTCGTATATTTCTTGAGCACCATGTCTATATTCTCGACGAGTGCACTTTACTGGCTTTGCGTGTATATTGGACGAGATTTCTTGAGCAACAACCGTTTGGTTATCCTTTAAACAAGACTTTTAAGTCAATTTAAAAATTGCTTGGCAGCTACAGGGAAGAAAGACTGGACGGCCGAATATTTATGAAAGCAACCTCGACAGTTCATCAAGCTATGTTCGTCTTTCGCTTGTAGTGACAGTTTATCCCAGGTATCTGTTGAAAATGCTTCTAAATATTGCTCAGGTTCTTGCGCTTTACGTGAGTTCCAAGTACTAAATTTCTTACGAAGTTCTGGCAATTTTCGGTTAAAAGACTTGAAATCGACTGCAAATCTGCTTCCTGTACTGCTGAACATAGATGAAAACCAATTGTAAATCTCCTGTACAACGCGCGTGTGATGGCTCTTTGGTGTTTCGTTCTCACTGCGTTTAACTTTAGTAGTAACCGCTCTTGTGATCTGCCAAGCTGCTGTTTTAGCAAATCCGCAAGTGTGCGGGTGAATGAGACATATAACCATGATTATAAAGTACAAAACTTTCGCGAATGAAATCATTTATAGTTAGCGCATTTGCTACCGCACTCTCAATATCGAACAGAAATTTGAATCTGGCGCCAAGAATTTGATCTCGCGCATTATACTGAGAGGATATTACCTCATGAAACTAAACGCGGATCAAGGTTGACAGTGTAATATTACATTAATTTTGTCTAAAAAGTACAAGATATTAAAATTGTATGAGTTGCTAACACTAAAATGCAGTTTGGTACTATAAAGCTAATGTAATTTGGTAGCATGTTTACAAGCGTGTATTTCACCGCGTATTATACTTTACTTATGTCTAGAACTGAATAATATAATCCAAATTGGTTATAAGTGTCTCATAAAATTAAACTTGTAACTTTCTAGAACTCAATAATCGCCGAAATTGGATTGAAAGGGGAAATATTTCATATCGAACTGCCACGATTGTTTTTATCGCCATTTTGCGCGTCGGTAGTTGCCATGGCATTGGGTATTCGGATGAGGCAAGTACTTCGGCTCAAGCGTCAAAAATGGTGATACAAATAAAAATATTTCGCCTCAAATTGTTGATTTTCAACCGCTTCGCCAGGGCATTTTTTTCAGTCGATTGGTAATTCTAATGAGTGATATAGTGACATGATGTGTTCAACTTTGCTGTTTAGTCTTGTATTGTTATAATTGTTGTATATGCTCTTCGCAAATTGTTTTAAATCGACTTAATTCAGTGAATCACTCGGCGCAAGCAAGTTTCTTCGCTATTTATTGTCACGACTAGTAATATAATTCCAACTTTCCAACACAGGGCATATTAAAACAAGTTTATATCTCGCTACTTGTGTTGTCAGATTGCTGCAGGAGAACGTTAATCCTACCCGGCAGAGCACATTTGTATTATTATCGGTATATATTGCGTCATATCAAGTCACGTGACTTCCGGTTCATAAGTTGGCATCTCTAAAAAAAATTTTAAAAGTGGTACTAACAACATTAACTTATAAAACATGCACTCAAGTGCAATAAGAATATTTAAATGATTTTTCTTTTATTTAATTTTATTTAATTTTATTGATGTAATTGGACCCAGGCATTAATACACCTGAGTCCTGCATGACTTAGGCCAGGAAATCTGGGCTCACTACAACAGACCTGGCCTAAGCCTAGGCTTGTGGAAATGTAAACAGTTTCGGCCCTGGACGGGGCCTTATTTTCATGGCAACGTGTGTCCACTGTAAGAGATTAGCGGACAACATCACAACACATAAAAATACACAAATTAATAACAAAAATTCTTGGCCAAAGTGAGCCTGTCTCAAAAAGTAGTGTAATGGTGTAAACATGCCACATTTACCTTGGCCTGGCCAATTTTACTCTGTCTAACCCGGTCAGTAACTCTAGGCAGAGTTAATGCCTAGGTGAGTTTACTTGTCAAGGGGAGAGAGCTTGGCACTCAATGACTTGAAAGAGCTTGGAAATCCAGGGGAGAGGTGATTAAAAGAACATAATTTAATTAATACTCAAATAATTCTCATGTTTTGGCTTAAATGGGCTTGTAGCAAACCCATATTTATATTCATATTCACATTTCACATATTGTTTCAGATATTAAATACACTGTGTGGGTTCAAAGATGCTTTCTCGAGTTTTGTCAAACAAGCGCAATCCAGTATTTATTATAATGTGCTTATTCAAAATTTTAATTGTTGGTTTTAACTAATATTTGGCGGCATTGAAATGAAATAATTTCAATATATAAAATCTCGCGCGCGCAAATTCAAATTTTAGCAGCTACATGTTCAGGCTAGCACAGCCACAAGATACAATGAAATATAAATGAGGTCGATGGACGTTATAATTATACGATATAAAGAGTAATAATACATACCTGAGATCAATAAGCCTTTAGGATTTAGAGTCACTTATCCAATCGAAATTTTGCTTTTTTTTACCGAAATGTAGCTTTTTTTGCGCGAAATATATCCAAACGAAAAAATTGAAAATTTGCAATTCACACTCGACACTTGATGCGCGATATCCCACAACTCATTGCGCGCGTGGCACTTGTTTTCTAAAATAGATACACCCAAAAGCGCTCCCTAGCTTTGCTATGCCATTTTAATTAAAGGACTTAAAGTAATATTAAACTTCATTTCAAAATTTGTTTCTGATTATAAGAATATTATTCTAGGTTGGAAAAATGTTATTCTTAAAATAAGTATAGGTTATTTTGAGGCAACGAGGGGATATGTGATTTATTCACCGAGGCGCGCAGCGCCGAGGTGAATAAACACATATCCCCGAGGTGCCTCAAAATAACGTACTTATTTTTCACACTGCGAG